GCCGGATCAACGATTCGCCAAACGGTGGGCACCGCTAACACTGCCATCAATTCTGGTCGTAATGTTATTCAACATCTTATGACAAGTTTTGGACAATAATTGATTCAAATGTTTATGCATTTAATGTCTTTCTATTATCTCTTTAAAGTTTTATCCATTTTTACAAAATGTCAATTTTTCAAATAAAATCATTTCATATTTAAACGTGACTTTAATTCTTGTAATAATTCCTGTGAATAAAATGTAGATTAAACTGAACTTGATTCATTTTTCAGTACAATTCTTTTAACTTTAGTTTATAATTGATATATTCTTGTTTATAACCTCAGATACATAATAGATAACATAGATTTACTCAGTGAGTAAATACTACTCCACAATGAATAGGACATTGAATTTGACTTAATTACCATATTTTTGATAAAAATAACAAAACTTTGAAATATATGATTGTATTTAAGAGTAAATGAAATGAACTTTTATACGATTTTCTGGTATAAAAGAGGGACAAAATTCTATTTCAATTTCACTTCATTGCCTTCAGTTTTATTATACGTTTAAATTTTTATAAAGTTTTTAATTGAGAGCAAAACGATCTTAAAATGAATGCCATTTTATTATTGAGTTTTATTTTATGTGCGAATGAAGTGCTATCGCAGGACGGGTACGGATTGCGGCCTTTCGAGTCATTTGAGCCGAAAGTTGGACACCAATCACAACAACGCTATGACTTGGATTCAAATGAATTGGACGACCAAATCATATCTCGAGGCGGAGAAGACTCGGAATCTTTATCGACGCCATTGCGGTCGTCGGCGCCCGACGTAATGCCCGGCGCCTCATATGTGATGCAATCCGAGAAGTTTGTGACCCCGGAATACCGATCCCATTGGAACCGATTCTCGCATTTACACGACCAACACGAGTCCAACACGAGTCGTGTGTGCCTTAGGGTTCGTTGGGGTCCTTTTGTGATGCATTTCAAGTGCCACTTCATGTCGAATCAACATTTCAATGATTGGATCCCAATCTGTTTGATCATTGCATCCTATTTCCTCTTTTATCGCACTAACTTTCGGCTTAGGCGTCAACACATCAATTCTGGTCATGTTATTCGCAAACCTCGTCAAAGATGTCGAAAATTTTGATAAATATTTTTGCATTTAATGTTTTCTATTATAGTTTAAAATGTTTTCAAATGTTTATAAATACATAAATTCTTTACAAATAAACTCATTTCATATGTAAAGTGACTTTAATTTAGTTTCCTCTGAAGGCATGTTTAATGAATTATTGATTATCAATGCGTGACAACTGGTCTAAGAGTGGATTCAATTCAATTTCGTAAAATTCAAAATAAGTTTCAAACTTTTCCGAAGTTTATGAGTGAATAGTGTTGTCAATAGAGTTGTTGTGAGCAGTGTTTGAGATGCAGTGCAAAAGGCCTTCACTTCTCAAACCGCAAAACACGTGCTTTTCTGTTGACTTCACTTTCAAACCATTCATTCAATAAACCATTGATTTTAATATCAAGTGATTGTCATCTGAAGACTCGATGCAATCGATGGATACCAACGAATCGGAAGACAAAAGTTGTCGTCAATTTGTCGCAAATTTTGTGACAAAAGACCAGAGATTGTCGATTCCATCGGTTCCTTATTCATTGAACGGATCCACACATGCATTAGATCTGAACGCTTTGATTAAGACATTGCTCGCCGAAGATAATGACCACCAAAACGATGTCAACTTAGAAGAGATTGACTTTGATTTTGCTATTAATGGCAAACTTTTACGCCTTTCTATCGAAGAGTTTGTCGAAAACGAGCGATTGGTGGCCGAGAATCAGATTGAGATCGAGTTCTTCGTCAAGTCGTGTCCACCGAAACCACACAACTCTCTACTACACGACGATTGGGTCTCTTGTGTGGACTGCACTCACAATTGGATAATAAGCGGATGTTATGATAATTCAGTGCATATTTGGGACCTAAACAATGACGGCTCCCATAAGATCGCAATTCCCGCACATTTAGCGCCCGTTAAAGACATCCAATGGATTGGCGGCCATTTGGACGACGGCTCTGACGATCATATGTTTGTGTCGAGTTCTCACGACGAGACCGCTATTGTCTGGAAGTGGAACTCACTGTCAAATCAAGTCGAGTATCTCTTCTCATGCAGAGGACACTCGCGATCTGTTGATTGCGTTGATGTGAACAACGACTTGTTGGCCACCGGTTCCTACGATCAGATGCTTAAGATTTGGTCATTAGTTGACGACAAGAAGGAAACGGAATCGTCTGAAGCGTCCACTTCTCAGAAGAAAATGAAGAAAAACGACGGTTCAGTTAGTGGTGATAGAAATCGCACTCCAATTATAACTCTTAGTGGACATAAGGAAGCGGTGACGTCATGCGCGTGGATGAAGGAGTCGACCACCGGTGACACGAGTGTCGTCAACATCGCCACCACTTCAATGGATAACACAATCCGTTTGTGGGACATAGAGGTCGGCGAAAGCAAACAGACTCTGACATCAAACAAAGCATTTTTGTCCATTTCTTATTCACCACTCAATCACTGTTTAATCACCGGTTCGTGTGATCGACACATCAGGCTTTGGGATCCGCGGGCCAGCACTGGCTCTCTGGTCGCCGGCGTCTATAGTTCTCATCAGTCATGGGTTTCGTCCATCGATTTCAGCAAAACAAATGAATTTCAGTTCATTTCTGGTTCTTATGATAATATTGTCAAACAGTGGGACATTCGGTCACCCGATGCGCCCCTCTATGACCTCATTGGCCACGACGACAAAGTTCTGTGCGTCAACTGGTCTTCAGATGAATATATGATTAGCGGTTCAGCAGATAATCAATTAAAGATATTTTCAAATTCCGATAAGAAATCAATTAAATAAAAGTATATTTTTATAATTTATTCTAAAATAATAAAAATACAGAAAATTGAAATTTAGTGATGAAATCAATACAACAGTAGTTTCAGTCCATTCGTGTCTTCACCTTCCGTTCGGTCACTTTGTCCTTCTCGATGACATAGACGACAGCACCCCATCCCGAACCCGCATCCCTGTCCACCGCATTCACCAACGCCTGCGAAATGGTCTCAAAGAGGTCGTCGGGCTCGAGGTTCGGCTCCCACAGCGTTTCGCACATTCCGAACGCCTGTTCAGTAGCGGTTCCCGCGACCACAAAGTCTTCGGGAATGTCCAGATTGCCGATCACGTCAGTCGACGCTATGAACGGCTCGCCGGTCTTCGGGTCGATTCCCGCCATCACTGGCTCTATAAAGTATGGCCCGAATCGGCGCTCGTATAGCATATTGGAGACGACGGACGCGAATGTCTTGGGACTGATTCGTCGGTTTTCACGCAATTCATACAAATTGATCCGAAATTTGAGTCTTTGGGCGACAGTGAGTGTGTCTGAGGCGAGACCCGGCAGACCAACCATAAGCGTCGGACCCATTGAGTAGATCTTCTGGAAGTCTGTGGACACAGTGTGTCCCTGAACTCCGAGCCGACGGTCGGCCGCAATGGCAACACATCCCTTGCCTTTCATCGCTATAACACATCCGCCATTGTATGTCATTATACTCTGCACAACACATCCAGGGGTTAGTCATGTCATGAGAAGTCATTTCAATACAATAACACAACAATACATACCATTTTGATCCACAAATTGTCGTTCAACTGATCCAACGATTAGAAAGTGATTTACAATTCAATCACAACTCAAGTCAACACTCAATGAGAAGACAACCGAGAGTTGAGTCGAAACTTGAGTTTTGAAGTCAATCTGCAAGTCATACACAAAGGGCTGCTCACAAATCAAGTGACACTATCTGTGCGTTGGCTTTGCATACACTCTATGGAGAGTTAAATATTCTGCATATTCTGTTAATATTCTTGTAGTGTTTTAAAGCCCTCAAAGTCTTATACAATAATCTTTAACAGAGGAAAACATTTAAATGAATATTTTGAAGAGCTTTACTTATTAGTCTTTTATATAATTAAAAGATAGTTTATAATTTATTCAATCATTTATTGCTACCAATAGTTAAAATGTCAATAAATTGCAAACATTTAGTTGAAAAGTTTATTTCAAATGAAAAGTTTATAAATTGTCATTGAGTTTGTTAAATTGTTGTCTCGTTTTTTTGTTCAAAAACTTACTGTTAATTTATAAATCATTTCAAAATTTCAAAACCAGTCGTCAGTTATCGTAATACAGAGAAAAACAGATAAAAAGTGAGATCAGAGGAAGACTTACAGTATCTGATCGATAAACTGATCCAAAAGAAGAAGAGAACACCCGAGCGATGGATGCGGTGAAAAATGTGGTGCGAATGGCATTCATGCCGATGGAAATGGCGGGCGTCAGCGGACAAGAGATCGACAGCTTTGTCGACAAGAATTGGGTGCGAATTCTGGTGAGTAAAGTGATCTTCGTGGTCGAGCTGTTCTACCTGTGGTGCGCCATTGCCACAGATCACGGCAACTCCAAGTCTGCCGGTCTGTTCGGTCTCGTCTGGATTATCCTCGCGTCGGCCATCTGTTTGGCTATCTTTGAGGCCTTACGACTGGTGTTGGGAACTCTGGCCGAAGAGCACCTCCAGGCGAAGTCCCATTAGACCAGTGGTCGCACTCCAACTACAGCCACACTATTGTCTATATATTGAGATGTGATTTGCATTCAAAACACAAAATTCTGTTTTTTATTTTTGTTCATTTGTTTCCGCAATAAAATGCAATAAAAAATTAATTGATTTATGGATTATATGTTTAGTGATGTGTTTACACAAAAATCATGTTTAATTTTGTGTTAAATTCTAGGCTTTAATAAGCGGTAAAATATTATTTGTAAAGTTTTAGCTAATTTTAAATGTTTAAATCAAACAAAAGAAATTAATTGAATGCACGCACAGACAGTCAGACAGCAATAGTTTAGTACTTATTTAAGTTTTAAATTCAGTTATTCGTTAACTCATGCAAAACACAAACGCTTTTTCCAATTATAAAAACTACTTTTAGTTGTTTGAAGACTACATTCACTGATAATATGTCAGAAGATAATGAGTCTTCGAAGAAGACTTCAATGGATTCCTATAAGAGCGTAGGAATGGGTTCATCAATAAGAAAACCGCCGACAGATGATAATGATATAACAAAGAAGTCGGAAGCGTCCACTTCGGCAAAGCTGACCCCCGAAGGCGGTGCCCCTCCCGGACAGTCCACATATGATTGCATAGCATTCCTCATCTATTGTGCCGAACATGAAATGTTTGCCTTAAGTAAAACAGAAAAGACAATTTGGATGCCATTTGTGGTCTATTCCAACACAAAGACATTTACGGTGGCGGCCGAAGAAGGCATTCGTATTGTTCTGAGCAGAGGTGACAAAGAATTGGACGCAACTCTTCTAAAAGGGCCAAAAATCAATCAAAACATTATTTTGAATGTAACTCGCGTTCAATTGCCGGACAATCGATTCATCAATCGGTTGACGCAATTCATGCGATTAGAGAAAAGTGACGCCGATTTCAAGTGTTGCCAAAACACTAAACGGATTCAATGGATGGCAAAGAAAGACGTGTTGGCCGGCAATATAGACAAGGTTTGGGGACCAGAAGTCTCTCAATTTGCTAATGCCGTCAACCAAAGCATGAATACATCGCTAAACGAGTTTAGTTTAAACATCGCTTTTAAACACATTTTCACTCAATCGTCGACTACTTTAAAGGAAAAACTTCTAAAAGAACTGCAAATCGATCAAAAAGATGTCGAAAAGTTTTATAACGATTTTATAGAACATTGTTTTCCTTCGTTTTTCATGTCTTTTGAATCGTTTAAGGAATATATGACTGACTATGGCTTCAATTATGAGATCAAGCATTTTAAACGCATTTTTAATGCGTTCGCGAGTTATGACAAACGCTTCCTTTCATTCAAAGAAGTTTTGTTAGGATTGGTTGCAATCGATCCCAACTCATCCAACGACGAGTCAAGGATTATGATTGTCTTCAGATATTACGACACAAATCGGGACCAATTCATAGACGAAGAAGAATTGAAACCAATGATTAAAGATATTAATCCAGAAATTGATGACCAGTCGGTCTTAGATAAGACATCCAAAGCCATGACCGCAATGACTGCCAAAGACAACAAGATTTCTTGCCAACAATTTCTTAGTGCCGTTAAGTCTAACGCATTTGAAGGAACGGCACAATTATTTCGGTCTCCAAAACCGATTTTTGTTGAGATCAAGAAAGTAATGGCAGACAAACACAAGAGAAAGACTTCGCCTAAGACTGACTCCAAAGTTGTTAAGCGAAAAGACAAAGGAATTTGTTACGGATGTAAAGGCAAGAACTATAACTACGGACTCCATTCCGTCAAATTGGACACAAGTGGCAGATGTACTGAACCTCGAAGAATATTTGAGCGTAAATTTTATCAAAAAATATAATTTTAAGAATTTTAAAGTTTTGCCTATTATTATGTGAATAGCGGACACACTTCTCGAAGACGTGATAACTCAACAGCGCTTTTCAATGGAGTATAAGTTTGATACGACTTCTATACCTCAAGTTTTGATTGATTTGATCAGAGATTACAACAATAAGAAGAAAAAGGATAAAGTTTTTTGGGGCGACGAGAAGGATATGCTTCTGAATTATTTAAGCAATTTGTGTGCAGACATTCAGATCTTAATGAAATGCGAGGACAGAGTAATAAAACTCAATTCTCCGGCTCTTGTGATCGGAGATATTCGGGGAAAACTGGATTACTTGATGGCAATGGAGAAAATTCTTTGGCAAAGTTTTCCCATCGTTTCGCCGAATATATTGTTTTTAGGCAATTATGTGGACTTTGGACAGAATGGCGTCGAATGTGTTATATATCTATTAGCCCTCAAACTCATTGCTCCCAATAAAGTGTTTCTCTTGAGAGGCAATCACGAGACACGAGACGTGCAGAAGAAGAACTCATTTTACAAGGAATGTGTTGAGAAATACGGGCAACAAATTGGCCATAAAATATGGGATCTCATTAACAATGTGTTCGACAAGTTGTCCGTCTCTGCGATCATCGATGAGTCGATATTCTGTATTCACGGAGGAATTCCTCGACACACATCCAAAGTGGGAGACATTAACGCCATTCCCTTCGACCTCATAGATCCACGCGATTCAGAAATCGCTTACGAGGTATTCTTCACTACACTTTAAACAGTATAACATATTTTTTACATTAGATCTTAAATAACGAACCGCTCAGACCTAATGACAACACCAAAGATCTCAAAAATGGTTTCGCTGTCAATAAAGACAATGGAAGCGCTTATCTGTTTAGCGCCGAAGCGTTGAATAAGTTTCTCGAAGGAAACGGTTTAACACATATTATTCGCTCCAATAATGTCTACAACAGTAATGGCTATGCGTTTAGTTTCGGCGACAAATGTCTAACAATCTGTTGTGACTATAAAGACAAGAGTGAATTAGCCGTCGCTTTTGTTGACAACGAGAAGATCCGAATCATGTCTTTAGGCGCATCACTCACTGAATCTGAGAGTAATCCTAAAGTTTTAACTCAAATAAAGATTTAACTCAACTTTTTTTGCAAAAACATATTTGATTTAATAAAAAACAAATTTTGAAAAATTCAAGTAAAATCAGTTTAATATGGTTTACATTTTAAAGATAATTAAAGAAAAGAAAAACGATGAGAGAGAGAGAGAGAGAGAGAGAGAGATTGCATTTTTGTTATAAAATTGAGAACACTTGTAATAAAATAAATGATGTATTGTTTGCGCGGAGATAAAGATGTTGAGTCTTTATTTGGGTTGAATTGCAAAGAGAGAGCTGATAATAAATATTATGACCACAAAAACTGCGGCCAAATGTATGCAAAGGTGGAGCCAATTCGGCCAAAAGCATTCGGTCGACGACTTTCCATAATCTTTACATTTAGTATTTTGTAGTAAACTATTTGAGATATTCTCCACATTTATTTGACCACAACTTTTATCGTTTGTTTCTTTTAATACTCTTTCAATGCATTTAATGTGAAGCCATTCACCGCAACACTCGACTGACAATTTGACATCACTTTCCTTTATATTCTCTGCTTTCGATTTTGACAATAGTTTCGCAATATTACAGGCATTTATTCTTTGTTCACATTCTTCAACGCAAATGTATTGATTAAGAATCACTGAAATAGTGGCAAAAATTAACGATATTTTTATCATATTTGTTGACATTTCTAAATGTAATGTTAGTTCAATTCTGTAATAATTTGATAATTCAAAAATCAACATTTAAAAAATGATGAACAAATACTAATTGCCATTATTAATCTCGCGTTTATTAAATTTTTGAAATCCAATTTAACTGAAATACTGTATTTTTTTGTATTAATTCTCTATACATTATAACTTTGATTTATGTAATTTTTGTAACTCTTGAGTAGAATTGAAATTAATTTATCCTAAGATTAACGATCCATTGCTTGGTTTGCAATGAATAAGAAAGAGAGTGAAAGTCTAACCATTAATATATTATTCTTGTTATGCATTATTGGTATTCTTTACATCGCTATTATGGTTACCACTCTTTTCATAGCACTTTTCAACGAATTTAATTTCAAATTTCCAATCCATAAACAGGTCATCATTTTAGCCGCTCTTCTCCTCAGAAGAAGAAGGAAAGCAGCGATTCGTGAAGAACTCAAACAATAGGAAGTTATGTATGGAAGCAATACAAGAAATAATTTGGCCATAATTTTGTGTGGAATAGCGACAAGTCTTACTATTTAAATGTCTTTTAATTAAATATTCAAAATTTTCTAATTAAATCTTTATTTACTTATAAATTATAAAATTATTGAAAATTTACACAATAAATGCAAATTTAAATTCTCGTTTCTTATTCCCAATGCATTTGTGATTTGATTAACATTTCAGTTATAATAAAGTATTTCTCAAATATACTAAACAAATAAAAAGAAAATTAATAGTAATCACAAATTTTAATCACTTTTCATTGCTTATAATTGTGAACTGTTTTTTTTGTTTCATTGCATAATGTATTTGAAAATTATTGAGTGATTTATGACAACGTTTTCTCTTAAAATTTAAATAAAATATTTTATGACTTTTTTCATTGCAATTATAAATTTATAAAATAATAAAAAATAATGGTTTAAATTAAAGACAAATGAAATAAAAAATTAAAATAAGTAAAAAAGGAGTGAAAATTGAATGTGACATAAAGTGATTGATTGTCTACAATAATTGAATTGCTTAATAAATAATAAAATAAATTAATTATAAAAAATATAATTAAACACAAAATTTTTTATATTAATTAAACAAAAATTGAGAAACGATTTGTTAAACTTTGAAAACATGTTTGTTTTAGTGTTAAAACGTTTTTATATCAATAAATTCATGTAAAAATTTCTAAAAACTCGTTTAAGATTTATCTCTTGAAACCATTAGCGAAATGGTGTCTCCCGTCGACTCGAATATATGGATCGCCTTATCTTTGGTCACATTTAGCAGATCTATGCCATCGATTTGAAGTATTTTGTCACCAACTTTGAGAGCAGTGCTCGCAGAACCGGCCGGTTCTACACACGACACAAATACGCCCTGAAATATATTATCAGTTAATCATTGCTTTCAAAATCAATCAATTGTTTCAACAAACCGATGAATCGTTCGGGGATTTTAATTGTAGACCGCAATCAATACTGAATCCAAGGCCAGGGTTTTTAACAATTATCACAGGAAACTGTTTCGAGACATCAATTATGAAATCATTGTACAAATCATTCATTTAAATAAACACTTACGACGTGTGCACTACTTGTAGTAAACCCGCGATTCGGACGATTCAAGTTGTTGTTAACGTTATTCAATAAATTACAAGAATTGGTACCATTTGTACCATTGGTGCCGTTGGATCCATTGGTACCGTTAGATACATTGGAACCGTTCGACTCATTGGTGTCATCGATAAAATTAATGCCATTTAAGTTCCATTTGTCGTGAATATCATCGGTTGAGAGCACTGTAGGAGGGCTTGAGTTGTGACCAATGGATGGTTTGGATTGAGTGTACGAGTCGTGAGAAAATTTATGAATAATAAACTGTGAGGAAGCGGTCTGTGGTTGTCTTTGCCGAGTGTTGCCGACCACCGGTGCAGTCAATCCTAAGTCGAGTGGCGATGGCGTGTAGTTAAGAGGTTTGGGCGGCAGAGAGGGAGTCTGATTGGCGGCTTCGGTGGCCTTGTGTTCGGTGCGCGAAAGAGAGCATTGACTAGTCTTAGCACTTGTGTTATCGCTGGCAGTACTGCCGGCGCCACTGAATGGCGAGTGACCAGAACATACAGAGACCGGCCGTTCACTTCCAGTCGATGGATATAACGATCCGATCGATGAGTTTGAATTGAAATCCATTGCATTGACTGTCGATTTATCAGTTATTGAGTCAAAAATACTTTTCTTCTTTTGTGATGAGTTTTGGTTTTCAATTACATTTGTAATGATATTATTATTTTCGGTTAAGTTTTGTCTCTCAAGTGAATCATTATTCAATTCTAATTGAATAGTCTGACCGTCAGAACAATCGGTAGATTTAATGTCAGTTAATTGAATGTTTGGATGCGAACCGCAATCGGACTCAGAATCCGATTCTAAAGGCGTTTTAATCAGAGAGGAGTCTAAATCACATTCTTTAGGCACTACTTCTTTGAGTCGATCCAAACGCTTTGATCGCAACTCACAATCACTCGAATAACCAGTTATTGTATTATTTAATAAACTTTGTGTCGAATAAAACTCAACATCACTTTTATATCCTCTTTCGTCGTCTTCTTTCGATGCAATACTTTTTAATTTGATTTTCCTTTCGATCGGACTCTTCAAACTCAGACTACTATTAACAGCAACTTTATAACTGGCTTTGCGTTCGTGGCCTGACTTCGCCGTCGATTCATCGGTTGCTTTGCTTTCAGACACAATAAGTTGCGATATCTTAGAGGCCACTAATTCTAAGCGATCCATTTCCAGAGCACCTAAACATACATTGCATTTCATTACAATTCATTTTTCAAAATAAATAATGGCTTACTTTTCGCAGACGTATTAATGTTAGGAAAATTGAATAACGAGTTAACGGGTAGTGTTGTCGGCCTTTTTGGCGGATCAATGTTTGTTGGAATGTGTCTCGAATTTAAGGGTGATTTCGATACTTTCGTTTCTTTCACTTCTGAATGACTAGATTGTCGATCGCCTTCGGAGGCGGCGGTCGGTTCGCACCCATTGACAAGAGTAACCATTTCATTGTCACCGTTAGTGCCGTTCGCATCCCTTTGTTTGAGTGCCAGATTGCGGGCGTGTCTGGCGTGTGCTTTCAGCTCTTTGGGGTACGGAGTGGGCGCCCGAATCAGTTTGGTTGTGATCCGCACATCCAGATCGTCGTCAATGCTGTTTAGAGCTGACGAGTCGTTTGAGAATTTAATCATTTGTCTTTCGGGCAAAACATTATTGTTTGTGTTATTGGAATCGTTGGGCGAAACCACACTTTTAGGCGAATTTCGCGATTGATCCGACATTTGAGGCAAAAGAAAACACGTCAACACTTTTTGGCCGCTCTCTCTGTCAATGTCTGATTGTAATTGAATTAATGGTTTTGTTTGATTCTCATTCAACCACAAGGCCTGAAGATTTGTGATCTTTGTTAGAGATAGCGGTAAATAAGTTAAGAAATTAGAGTTCAAATTAAGAACTTTAAGCGACGAAAGTCTTCCCAATTCGTCGGGAATCACTTTGAGCTGATTCTCAGCCAACGATAGTATCCTTAAGTTAACACAACTGCCAATAGAAACGGGAAGTTCTGTCAAACGATTGCAGTCACCGATCAATGTCTGAAGATTTCGCAATAAACCGATATTTGTCGGAAGGCTTTCCACTTCGTTCTCATTAAACACCAGCTCTTCTAAACTCGACAGACTGTTCACAAAACAAATAGTAAACAAACAATTAATACAAAACAATATTTTACAATAGAAATCCTAACCTTCCGATCGCTGATGAGAGGGTTTTAATCTCATTTTCGTCTACTCTTAAGATTTTGAGATTAACTAAACTTCCAATACTTTCGGGCAATTGTATTAAATTGTTTGATGTGAACGTCAAGTCTGTTAACTGTAAGCAATGACAGATTTGTGC